GCGCAGGCTCAGCGGCCATGGCTCACGGGCCCAGCCGCTCCGCGGCCATGTGGGATCTTCCCGGACCGGGGCACGAACCCGCGTACCCTGCATCGGCAGGTGGACTCCCAACCACTGCGCCACCAGGGAAGCCCGGCGAAATACTTTTTGTCTGCAACTATCTTTCAGATGATTCAGAGGGAAAAAGAAGTCTGCATGTATATCCCTGAAATGGGACTCCTTTCTTCCCACTTAACATAAACATATCTCTCCCCGCTGGGCTCGTCACTGGCAAAGGCTTCCTTTTCCCTTTTCGGAGCACCTTGTCATGGAGCCCCTGCTCATTGTCCTGGAGCCCGGAGTCAGTAGAGCAACAAGGAGGCGCAGGACTTTCTCCTGGTACCATGTACTGATATCTTGTCCCCTTCTTCACTGGGAGCATTGGGCTCAAGGCTTGGAGTCCCTGTGACCTTGGGCAAGCTACTCCACTTCCCTAGCTTCCTTAATCTGGACTACAGGGTGTCCAAGACCCCACCCAACCATGATGTTGGGTGGGAGAAGCTGTCCTTGAACTCAGATGCTTCTAGGGTTCTGGATGCTGGAGAGTTTGATGATTTTTTTTTTTTTTTTGAGTTTGATGATTTTAATGGTCCTCTGTGGCAAGAGATGGAAATGAAATTTTATCCTTTGGATTCTCTCTTCCCTAAGCTGAGTCCCAGTCACTGTTTTGGGGGAGAAAGGAGAAAGCAAGGCACCTGTGCGCACGTGTGAGTGTGATTGTGTCTGAGTGAGTGAGGCTCGGAGACTGATACCAGGAGCAGTGCTGTGGATGGGGTCTAAAGTCAGCATTTGGGGGTGGGAAGATGCCTGGGAGCTGGTGGTGGTGGGGCACTGTTTGGTACCCCAGGGATCTTGGGGAAGCGTCAAGTTTCACCTGTTCCGCCCCCACCCCCAGGCCCATGAGCGGCTGGAGGAGACGAAGCTGGAGGCCGTGCGGGACAACAACCTGGAGCTGGTGCGGGAGATCCTACGGGACCTGGCGCGGCTGGCCGAGCAGAGCAGCGCGGCGGCTGAGCTGGCCCGCATCCTCCAGGAGCCCCACTTCCAGGTTTTGTCCTCTCCCGGGCTGCTGGGGGGGTGGCGCCGGCAGGAAGTTAGAACTGGGGTGGGAAGGGACCTCAGGGCACTGCCCCCATGGTCCCTTCTCTTCCCCCCCCCCCCC